GTCACAAAAGTAACCATATCGACCAATCCATAGTGCTACAGGAATAACAGATGCTACACAGCGTGACTTCATGTCATGCAAGGTATTTCAGAAGCGTGTGTCTATGTATTTGTTTATACTATTGTTTCAATAAAATATGTTCCTACATTATAGTTTTTTTTATGAATTCTGTCATAAGAACAAGCTCGATCGTTGTTTCCCCACAATAAAAGATTTACCTTGAATAGATGAAGCGAAACTGAATATATGAATGTATTGTGATCATGTGAGATGAGATTTGATGTCAACTTCACTCATGTAGATGTGGAGGTAAACTGTCGTCATTGTTTGAAATGTTCATTTGTTTTCATATTAAAAGCTTACTTTAAAACAACTACCAATAGGGTCTTGTATTTATGACCTGTAATCCACCTCCGTCAACACCAACCAAGCCTTGCTTTACTGGTAATGGTGGTACACTGTCGCCAGTGACTGAAGGGATGTTATAAATCCTGCCGGGGTCCATGTAGGAAGCATAGGTACTGTAAGTCCCCATGGACCCTAGCATGGTGATCTACCTTCAGTTGCTGGCGATCTCTAGCCCATTTTTATATTGTGTTCTCTGATACTTATGACTTTTATATATTCTCAACTAGTTTTAAACAGATTCTGTGATATTCTAGTTATTGTACTGTCCTTCGTTGACAGCTTTTTATATTGTATACATTTATGTATTATTAATGTACTTCTCGTCACGATATGGCTGAAATATTGCCGATGTGACGTTAAATATTAACTCACTCACTCACTCATTACTGATAATGGACACGCCCCTTCACAGTACAATACAAGGGAGGTAACTGTGAACGTTAGTATTCAGGACCAAGTCAACATGTCTTTATTGTGTCATTTTTACACCTCGACGAATGACTTTGTTTACCTGAATGTCAAACATTTGTAAAACCCATAACAATAAAAGAAATTTAAATCAATATACTTTACATTTTTTTTATTTTCTTGGGGCCAACAATTCCTACTTTCGGTTTCTCTTCCTTTAATGTTTCGTGTGTTTTTAAGTTTAAATTTAAGAAACACAAACCTTATATACGTTTGATGCTGTCGATGTCCCGAATAAACAGGTATACTAGTTCTTCATGTGAACTGTGTGAGATTAAATTGTACGTCCTGGATGCCTTAAAATAACCAAATCCCGCCTCGGTACACACCTGTGCCTACCTGTCCCTTCCCTTCCGCATGACATACAAGGGAGGTAACTGCGAAATCTCGACTAGTGGTGATTCAAAAGCGATCAAATCTGATGACGACGTAGGTTCCTGGATCGAATCAAGGATGATTCTTATAACGTCGAAAGAGTTCGCACATTTCAATATACACACACAGTACACATTGTAAACAGTATTTATGTAATATCCTAAGATGTTTTACACATTCGTATTTGTACAGTCAATTATGTTCGAACATGTATACATGTAATGTCGTTTATAGCAGTACAAGAAGTAAAAAGTTGGACAAGCAGCTATATGGCAGGTGTGGCGATCGAGATGTCATAGATGTTACAAATAAGAAATATACCACAGAAACAATAACTTTCTTGAAACGTAAATAACAATCTGACCAGTATTTCAAAGCAATCCGAACGGGCAAATCAACACACCGTCATGTAAACATCTTAAGCCCGAGAAACATGTAGCTGTTACACCAGTCTTACACCAGCAGGATTCCTGTGGCCTCCGTGTGTTACAAAAAATAAATAAAAAAAGTCATGTATACTGTTGTGGTCAGAAGCATCAGATCACTAATCGAAGTCACGGAGTGTAATGTTAGTATCAGATATGTTTACTGCATGCAGAATAATCTCTTGTTTCGTTTTACTTGAACACAAAACCCGCATATGTAGCACGTGCGATACCCTACAGGTAATCTTATACTTGTTTCCCTCAGTTCGTATGATTACTGATGTTTAGCCTCTGATTATAGCATGATATCATTTACTGATTTCAATACACGAGATTTAACGTATGCATTTGCGTGTTTTACTATTTCTTGATGATTTATGGATGTAATGATACATGGCCCTGATCTGTGCGATGAAGGAATATCCCTATTTACTTCTACAGGACGGTGTTCCTTTCCATATATCTATTGAGATAGTGTCATCTCCATAAGTAGGTATATGCTGGCTGAATGAGTATTTATCTCACGATAGGCTGCGTTTACAAATACAAATTTACACTTGAGTCTGTGAGTGAAGAATGTAACCCAATGGGGACGTTACTGTTGACATCTCATTGAGTTGCATTGTCATGCTGAAGGGTCACCCTTCGATGGACAGCTGTGCTTTAAAACGTGTTGATAAATATAACTATGGATTCATGCTGTATGTGTTGAATACTGATATCCTACTTCAATATCTCCTATGACCCTACAGAAAAACTACTGAACGCTCATTTATATATGTGTGAGACTGGAAGAAACATGAAACGAAACAGCTGAGAAGCTACCTTAAATTAAGTGTTTGTTTTAGTTGGCAACATGAATTCTTATATCAACCAAATAAGGATTGTAAAAGCATTCAAACATTTGTCTGAATTATCCCTGCATTCGCTGCATTCAGCAATATTCCAACTATATGACGGCGGCCTGTAAACAATCGAGTCTGTACCAGACAATCCAGTTATTGACATAATGAGCATCGACCCACGTCATTGGGATACGATGATATGCATCAAGCAACTAGCCTGACCACCCGATCCCTCGACAGTAACTGCACAAAATGTCCAATACCCTCGTGAGAATAAGAATGAGATCCAACTTTCAGATGAATATGTAACCATGAGATCCCACATTTAGATCAATATGTAACCATGCGATGACTCATCTAGATGAATATGTAGGCATGAGATCCCACCTTTAGATAAACATGTCAGCATGAGATCCCATTTTTAGATGAACTTGTAAGCATGAGATCCCAACTTTAGATGAACATGTAGACATGAGATCCCACTTTTAGATGAACACGTAAACATGAGATCCCACTTTTAGATGAACATGTAAACATGAGATCCCACTTTTAGATGAACATGTAAACATGAGATCCCACTTTTAGATGAACATGTAGGCATGAGATCCCACTTTTAGATGAACATGTGAACATGAGATCCCGATTTTAGATGAACATGTAAACATGAGATCCCACTTTTAGATGAACATGTTAACATGAGATCCCACTTTTAGATGAACATGTGAACATGAGATCCCACTTTTAGATGAACATGTAAACATGAGATCCCACTTTTAGATGAACATGTGAACATGAGATCCCACTTTTAGATGAACATGTAAACATGAGATCCCACTTTTAGATGAACATGTGAACATGAGATCCCACTTTTAGATGAACATGTAAACATGAGATCCCACTTTTAGATGAACATGTAAACATGAGATCCCACTTTTAGATGAACATGTAAACATGAGATCCCACTTTTAGATGAACATGTAAACATGAGATCCCACTTTTAGATGAACATGTGAACATGAGATCCCACTTTTAGATGAACATGTAAACATGAGATCCCACTTTTAGATGAACATGTGAACATGAGATCCCACTTTTAGATGAACATGTGAACATGAGATCCCACTTTTAGATGAACATGTAGGCATGAGATCCCACTTTTAGATGAACATGTAAACATGAGATCCCACTTTTTGGATGAGCATGTAAACATGAGATCCCACTTTTAGATGAACATGTAAACATGAGATCCCACTTTTAGATGAACATGTAAACATGAGATCCCACTTTTAGATGAACATGTGAACATGAGATCCCACTTTTAGATGAACATGTGAACATGAGATCCCACTTTTAGATGAACATGTAGGCATGAGATCCCACTTTTAGATTAACATGTAAACATGAGATGAACTTGTAAGCATGAGATCCCACTTTTAGATGAACTTGTAAGCATGAGATCCCACTTTTAGATGAACATGTAAACATGAGATCCCACTTTTAGATGAACATGTAAACATGAGATGAACTTGTAAGCATGAGGTTCCACTTTTAGATGAACTTGTAAGCATGAGATCCCACTTTTAGATGAACATGTTATATGAGGTTCCACTTTTAGATGAACATGTGAACATGAGATCCCACTTTTAGATGAACATGTAAACATGAGATCCCATTTTTAAATGAACATGTAAACATGAGATCCCACTTTTAGATGAACATGTGAACATGAGCTCCCACTTTTAGATGAACATGTAGGCATGAGATCCCACTTTTAGATTAACATGTAAACATGAGATGAACTTGTAAGCATGAGATCCCACTTTTAGATGAACTTGTAAGCATGAGATCCCACTTTTAGATGAACATGTAAACATGAGATCCCACTTTTAGATGAACATGTAAACATGAGATGAACTTGTAAGCATGAGGTTCCACTTTTAGATGAACTTGTAAGCATGAGATCCCACTTTTAGATGAACATGTTATATGAGGTTCCACTTTTAGATGAACATGTGAACATGAGATCCCACTTTTAGATGAACATGTAAACATGAGATCCCATTTTTAAATGAACATGTAAACATGAGATCCCACTTTTAGATGAACATGTGAACATGAGATCCCACTTTTAGATGAATATGTGAACATGAGATCCCACCTTTAAATGAACATGTAAACATGAGATCCCACTTTTAGATGAACATGTGAACATGAGATCGCACTTTTAGATGAACATGTAAACATGAGATGAACTTGTAAGCATGAGATCCCACTTTTAGATGAACATGTAAGCATGAGATCCCACTTTTAAATGAACATGTAAACATGAGATCCCACTTTTAGGTGAATATGCAAGCATGAGATTTCACCTTTTGATGAACATGTAAACACGGTTTGAAATTAATAACAATCGCAACTAAAATCTGAAGCATATTTTTTTTCAAACAACTCAGAAAATGAATGTCTGCCCACATTTAGCTGATCACTCGCACTCCTCGTGGGATAAAGTTTGCAACTGTAAGTAAAAGACAAGTACTAAACATCTATCACGTCAGATATAATATATTTGTTAATGGATGCAGGCGGGTTTTGTGTTTTAAAATACAGATTCAAGTAAACTCCATAAGTTACTTTTTATCCTAGTAAAACCTGCTCTACAAGTCTTCCTGTTTCGCCTGCGCCTTTCTCAATCGTTGTTTTGTGGCTGTGTACAGGTCGTGAGACGTGATGTTCTCAGCCCTGTCATAGAACTGGCGGAACACCTGCGCGTTCATATGGTAGAATGCCAACTTATGCTTTCGGCGATGGTCGGGGACGATTTGGCCGTTTTCGTCAAATTTCTGTGCAGGTAAAGGACATCCAGAATGGTTCAGATTTGCCTGTGCTTTCGCGACAGGCTTCCCGGCTTTAGTTGCATCAAGCGCCTTGTGAAGTTTGTCACAGAGGAAACACTCATATCCTAAAGCAGCCTTCCCAAAACTGCCACCTGCATACTTCCCTGGTGATATCCGGGCGAGTTCTGACTTCAGCGTTGGATTTGAAATACCCGTGTGTTTGAATTGGAGGTATGACTCATACTGTTCGTCGTTCCGATCAAGCTGCTTGATGAACGCAGCCAAGTCTTGAATAGTGTCAAAGTCTTCGACCAGAATCGCTGATTTGGTGGATGGTAAAATGTCCTGAAAGTACGATTTAAGTAGAGCTGATTTTAAATTGCATTTATTTGAATAGAACAAACTACAATCAGAAAAAAAAGATGTATAATAATTACTACTCTTTCCGAGGCTGAGATTCTAGTCGACTACATGTTTGTTCAATTCATGACAAATTTATTTCCAAAGTCCTTTCACGCCGTTAATGCCACAGTACACATTTATAGCATGACCATAAAACAGAAATGATTTTTTCGGCACTTTAATATTCATTCTTTATTCGTTAGTTTATCTTTCTTCTTTAATTTTTCTCATTCAGTTCTTCGGATAATAGAAACAGATCACAATGGGGGTTCACAATTTCAAATCATATATTAAGTTACTGTATTATTGTGTCTGGATGTGTCCTCGAAGGTTACATGAATATTTAGGCGTATATGCGTCAAACGTAGAACCCGTGATTCTTAAATTGTGGTTGAAAAATAATCATGATGATAACAATGGATCAGCGACAATCTTTCTTCGCTGTCGAACCCTCCACCTGTACATGGATGACCAGCTACTCCGTTAGTCTTGTCTAACGCTAAGTTGAATAGCTTACTGCAAAACGTTTTCATTCATCCGTTACACGAGACGATAACTTTAAGACCAAAGCTTACCCCCTGCCCTATCGTAGTCGTTTACTGTATCGAAGTTGTTTAGAAAATGTAATTATGATTATGCCCTTAAATCTACGACTTACGACTTTGTGTGTCTTGGGTACAGCCTAAGAAAATATATAATTACTTATGTACCCTCACGAAAATGCCACCACACAAACAAGACATCTCGGCCATCTTTTTGTCTAGTGGTCCAAGTAAAAGAACATATGCTCTCATTGAAATGTTTCCACACACAAAAGTCATCTCACCCTGATTGTCGGCGAGCCGAGCACAATAGGGACAGTTCCCACCTGTAGAGGGCGCCACAACTTCTCTGTGATGTAGTCGTCACAGATGGCGTTCTCAAAAGCTATAGCAAACTTGTAGCGGGCGACAAGTCTCAAAAAGTCTGGCTTCAAGAAGCCTGCTATACCGTCGAGATTCTTGAATCTATATGCAACAGAAAGAGAATGGTTACAGTTTAATAGTTGCAAAGTGCTTTGTTCTTCATTCCACACTGCATGTATCTTTCTAACAAAATAGATAGACTTGCCCAGTCTACATTTTGATAACAGTGGGTGCATGTAGGTCGGAAATGTGGTAAAAGATTATGAGCTGTACTGACCATGCTATATATTATGATAACAAATTAACATTGTGTTGAAATGATAATGAGCCCAGTTACATGTATGACATGGCCTAAACGGTGGGTTCCATTTGCCTCCAAAATATCATAACATATATGACTAAGTGAAAACAGGCTCGGGATACATAATATGTGTGTGTGTGTGTGTGTGTGTGTGTGTGTGTGTTTGTGTGTGCGCGTTTGTGTGTGTTTGTGTGTGTGTATGTGTGTATGTTAGCGCGCGTTTGTGTGTGTGTGTGTGTGTTTGTGTGTGTGTGTGTGTGCGTATGTGTGTGGGGTTGATAATATTCGTTGAAAGTGCATATTCCCTGTGTATGTGTGTGTGCATGTCTGCATGTATGTGTGTGTGTCTTTATGCGTGTATGTCTGTGTGTGTGTGTCTTTATGTGTGTATGTGTATGAATGTGTATGTGTGTGTCTGCATGTGTGTGTCTGTATTCGTGTATGTCCGTCTGTATGTCTGTGTGTGTGTGTCTGTATGTGTGTGTCTGTATTCGTGTATGTCTGTGTGTGTGTCTGTGTGTGTGTCTGTATGTGTGTCTGTATTCGTGTATGTCTGTCTGTACGTCTGTGTGTGTATGTGTGTGTGTCTGTGTGTGTGTCTGTATGTGTGTGTCTGTATTCGTGTATGTCTGTCTGTATGTCTGTGTGTATGTCTGTGTGTGTGTGTCTGTGTGTATGTCTGTCTGTATGTCTGTATGTGTGACTGTATCAGTGTGTATGTGTGTTTCTGTATGTGTGTGTGTCTGTATTCGTGTATGTCTGTCTGTATGTCTCTGTGTGTGTATGTTTGACTGCATATGGTTCAGGTGGACCGTAGGAATCTACATCGACGTATTCCTGCAACGTCTTGACGTACTGCTCCCTGTTGGATGGTGTGTTGCAGTCGCTGTGGACAAATATAATTGGAGCTAGGCCACCATCTGTCCTCATCACGTCCTTTCTGTCTGTGGGGACTAAATATTCTTTACTGAGCAGTGTCTCTTTGTTTGTCAGCCAGTGGGTGGTGAGCGGGTAGTCAGATCCCCTCTTGAAAGTCGATGTGTAGTTGAACAGCTCTATAGTGCTCCTGAATGAAAACAGCCAATCTTTGTTCATGGGCGACTCTTCGTGGATCAATGCCCAAATATCGCCATCCTTCCTTGGAAAAGGAAGACCACTCGACAGAAAGAATGAGCCGTAAAATACGTACATCTGAAAATATAAATGGAAGATTGCCAGTCCCTCTGACAAAAGGTACAACTTCTGACTGTCTATGTTCTGAAGGCGTCACTGACGAGTGTGCGCAGTGTGGCCATTTGACGCCAAGGTTGTCGTGCGTTTTTCGCTTTGAAAGAAGAGCCTGTAGTGACGACATTTTTTATGTTGCGCTGAACACGAATGAAATAAAACTATCTGCGACAGGCATCAGCAAACTTACTGAAGCGAGACTTCTCTCTAAAGTTCATGTCAGTCTAATCCCCTATAACCTACATAATATATCGCGATAATGGTCGGTTGTAAGAACACTGAAATCATGACGCTCCATGTAGGTAGATACTTTGGGGTAGTTTCTTTCGCAAACTTGCCTACACACATGATCGACCGTTTGTACTGGTAAAGCTCAATGTGACGGTGACACAGTTTCAGTGACACATAGAGCAGGTAAATTGCAATGGAAGCGTCACTCAGTAGCCGTCTCATCCAAAAATATCGCAAACATCTACCGTGTATATGTTGTCATGGTTACTCACCATGACTTCCTGATGCTGCAGTCGTGTCTTGTTCCTGGACACGAGACATCTCTGTTGCGTCTCACAGGAGATGACATAATCAGGATATTTGCCTATCGACTCCCACCAAGTCAAGACTGGCAGGGTGGCGTGACTCTCAACCACCTCATAGCTGACGTCTTGCCCTGCACAGTGAAAATGTAAACATAGCTCACTCCAACCTCTCCTTCGGTGGATGGGAAGGTGGGTGGGATGGGGAGGTGGGTGGGTCGGTAGATTGGCTCGGTGGAAGGGTGGGTGGGTGGGTGGGTCGGTCCGTCGGTCGGACCACGTTTCACAGGTGACGGTCATGGCAGACTGTCAATATTCAAGTCTGGACCAAACAAACCTTGAATTTAAAGCATAAGGCCTGATGAACGACAGGTTTCGATCCATGTCGATTCGTACGAAAATCGAAGTATCCTGAGAACCAATTCTACCCGGAATCACCATGGAGACCATGTTCTACATCGGGGCATGGGTGGTTACAATGTCTGTAGAGATGAGTGCCATTCACTCACTATAACATACAGAACCAGTTATATCAACTCTGTCCCATCCAGATTCGATGACTGAGGGAGTGAGTTTGGTTTTACGCCGCTTTTAGCAATATTCCAGCAATATCACGGCGGGGGGACACCAGAAATGGGCTTCACACATTGTACCCATGTCGGGAATCGAACCCGGGTCTTCGGCGTGACGAGCGAACGCTTTAACCACTAGGCTACCCGACCGCCCCTTCGATGACTGAAGATACAGGGATACAGTTGCAATATGGCTTGGTTCGTTAACATGAATACAGTCCCATGACTCCAGGTGACTGAAACATGCTGAAACGAACACAAGACACGGACAACGCAACTGATGAAAGAAAGATGTTTCATGTTGTTTTCGTAAATGTTCTGACGTCCTTCCTTGTCTCATGTTTTTATGACCTACTAACTTCACAGTACATATCAATTATACTACAGCGACAAAACCGTTTCCATATTAATAAGAAATCTATGCTGAAAGCAGATTCATTTACAATTCCGACTATATGATGATCATGTGTTTAGTAATCACTATCAAATAGTGATGACACCAGGTGCTCGCGGAAAGGTGAGCGTATCCTGCCCCAAGGGTGGCACTCGTCACAAACACATGCAAAGGCACGTCAGTTATTCACTTGAAATACACGAGATCATATGGAACAAGTCAAATTATGGAAGTGCATTGGGCATTATTATTACATCTATTATATCAGTGAAAACATTTAAAAGATAATTATTAGCCACATTACAGCCTCAATGTGTTAGTTAAAGATATAAAGTGACCAACGTACCATCCCCCGCTGTGTAACAAGTCCAAATCAACACCAAAAGAGAGATCTTATCTGAAACATACAACAATATCACAATATCATGGTGTCAAAATACCAAAGTATGAAGACACATTTTTTCACAACGTATTTTTGCAGAACACTGCACATGCCAAGTTAACAATATATCATTGTGTATAGCAAATGACCTTGCGGTATTGAAGAGTATGAGTAGGTTGACGTTGTATAACCGAACCACCAGTCATCCTTAAAACAAAATAGCCATACTATAGCCAAGTGAATATGAAGCTGTACATAAATTACACATCACTGTCTTTATACATGATCAATATCCTGTTGTATCAATAATCCATGTAACTAAGTAACTTAACTAACCTGGAAGTATAACTCAGAGCAATCACCCCGTCTCGATCAATGGCACAGTTTATCAGCATTTCCCATTAACAAACTATACTCAAGGCGCGCTGATGCTTCCCGTCTCGCTTGAATGTCGTGTGTCTGGGGGTATACTTCATTCACACGCTAACGTACCCGGCCAGGCGAGTCCACTCAAGCAGGTGTGCACTCACCCGTATCACTGAGTCAGTAATTGCTGTCAATAACGGACAAAGTACTTTCCAAATCGCATTACAGAATCAACAGTATTGTGCATGTGGCTGCCAGCTGTGTCACCAGTTTATATCTGGAGAGAGAGAGAGAGAGTGACGCTGTTGCCTATAACAGTTTTGTACATGTGGCTGCCAGCTGTGTCACCAGTTTATATCTGAAGAGAGAGAGAGTGACGCTGTTGCCTATAACAGTATTGTGCATGTGGCTGCCAGCTGTGTCCTGTGTCACCAGTTTATATCTGGAGAGATGGAGACGGACGCTGTGGCCTATAACAGTATTGTGCATGTGGCTGCCAGCTGTGTCACCAGTTTATATCTGGAGAGAGAGAGAGAGTGACGCTGTTGCCTATAACAGTATTGTACATGTGGCTGCCAGCTGTGTCACCAGTTTATATCTGAAGAGAGAGAGAGTGACGCTGTTGCCTATAACAGTATTGTGCATGTGGCTGCCAGCTGTGTCCTGTGTCACCAGTTTATATCTGGAGAGATGGAGACGGACGCTGTGGCCTATAACAGTATTGTGCATGTGGCTGCCAGCTGTGTCACCAGTTTATATCTGGAGAGAGAGAGAGAGTGACGCTGTTGCCTATAACAGTATTGTACATGTGGCTGCCAGCTGTGTCACCAGTTTATATCTGAAGAGAGAGAGAGTGACGCTGTTGCCTATAACAGTATTGTGCATGTGGCTGCCAGCTGTGTCCTGTGTCACCAGTTTATATCTGGAGAGAGGGAGACGGACGCTGTTGCCTATAACAGTATTGTGCATGTTGTTGCCAGCTGTGCCACCAGTTTATATCTGGAGAGAGAGATAGTGACGCTGTTGCCTGTAACAGTATTGTGCATGTGGTTGCCAGCTGTGTCACCAGTTTATATCTGGAGAGAGAGTGACGCTGTTGCCTATAACAGTATTGTGCATGTTGTTGTCAGCTGTGTCACCAGTTTATATCTGGAGAGATAGTGACGCTGTGGCGTATAACAGTATCGTGCATGTTGCTGCCAGCTGTGTCACCAGTTTATATCTGGAGAGAGATAGTGACGCTGTGGCCTATAACAGTATTGTGCATGTGACTGCCAGCTGTGTCACCAGTTTATATCTGGAGAGAGATAGTGACGCTGTGGCCTATAACAGTATTGTGCATGTGGCTGCCAGCTGTGTCACCAGTTTATATCTTGAGAGAGATAGTGCCGCAGTGGCCTATAACAGTATTGTGCATGTGGCTGCCAGCTGTGCCACCAGTTGATATCTGGAGAGAGATAGTGACGCTGTGGCCTATAACAGTATTGTACATGTGGCCGCCAGCTGTGTCACCAGTTTATATCTGAAGAGAGAGATAGTGACGCTGTTGCCTATAACAGTATTCTACAAGTGGCCGCCAGCTGTGTCACCAGTTTATATCTGAAGAGAGAGAGAGGGACGCTGTTGCCTATAACAGTATCGTGCATGTTGTTGCCAGCTGTGTCACCAGTTTATATCTGGAGAGAGAGAGAGGGACGCTGTTGCCTATAACAGTATCGTGCATGTGGCTGCCAGCTGTGTCACCAGTTTATATCTGGAGAGAGAGAGAGGGACGCTGTTGCCTATAACAGTATCGTGCATGTTGTTGCCAGCTGTGTCACCAGTTTATATCTTGAGAGAGATAGTGACGCTGTGGCCTATAACAGTATTGTACATGTGGCCGCCAGCTGTGTCACCAGTTTATATCTGAAGAGAGAGAGAGGGACGCTGTTGCCTATAACAGTATCGTGCATGTTGTTGCCAGCTGTGTCACCAGTTTATATCTGGAGAGAGAGAGAGGGACGCTGTTGCCTATAACAGTATCGTGCATGTGGCTGCCAGCTGTGTCACCAGTTTATATCTGGAGAGAGAGAGAGGGACGCTGTTGCCTATAACAGTATCGTGCATGTTGTTGCCAGCTGTGTCACCAGTTTATATCTTGAGAGAGATAGTGACGCTGTGGCCTATAACAGTATTGTACATGTGGCTGCCAGCTGTGCCACCAGTTTATATCTGGAGAGAGAGAGAGAGTGACGCTGTTGCCTATAACAGTATTCTACAACTGGCTGCCAGCTGTGTCACCAGTTTATATCTGAAGAGAGAGAGAGGGACGCTGTTGCCTATAACAGTATCGTGCATGTTGTTGCCAGCTGTGTCACCAGTTTATATCTGGAGAGAGAGAGAGGGACTCCGTGGCCTATAACAGTATCGTGCATGTTGTTGCCAGCTGTGTCACCAGTTTATATCTGGAGAGAGAGAGAGGGACGCTGTTGCCTATAACAGTATCGTGCATGTGGCTGCCAGCTGTGTCACCAGTTTATATCTGGAGAGAGAGAGAGGGACGCTGTTGCCTTTTACAGTATCGTGCATGTTGTTGCCAGCTGTGTCACCAGTTTATATCTGGAGAGAGGGAGACGGACGCTGTGGCCTATAACAGTATTGTGCATGTTGTTGCCAGCTGTGCCACCAGTTTATATCTTGAGAGATAGTGACGCTGTTGCCTATAACAGTATTGTGCATGTGGTTGCCAGCTGTGTCACCAGTTTATATCTGGAGAGAGAGAGAGAGTGACGCTGTTGCCTATAACAGTATTGTGCATGTTGTTGCCAGCTGTGTCACCAGTTTATATCTGGAGAGAGATAGTGACGCTGTTGCCTATAACAGTATTGTGCATGTGGCTGCCAGCTGTGTCACCAGTTTTTGTCTGGAGAGAGAGTGACGCTGTTGCCTATAACTGTATTGTGCATGTGGCTGCCAGCTGTGTCACCAGTTTTTGTCTTGAGAGAGAGTGACGCTGTTGCCTATCACAGTATTGTGCATGTGGCTGCCAGCTGTGTCACCAGTTTATATCTGGAGAGGTAGTGACGCTGTTGCCTATAACAGTATTGTGCATGTTGCTGCCAGCTGTGTCACCAGTTTATATCTGGAGAGATAGTGACGCTGTTGCCCATAACAGTATTGTGCATGTTGCTGCCAGCTGTGTCACCAGTTTATATCTGGAGAGAGAGAGAGTGACGCTGTTGCCTATAACAGTATTGTGCATGTGGCTGCCAGCTGTGTCACCAGTTTATATCTGGAGAGAGAGAGGGACGCTGTTGCCTATAACAGTATCGTGCATGTTGTTGCCAGCTGTGTCACCAGTTTATATCTGGAGAGAGAGATAGTGACGCTGTGGCCTATAACAGTATTGTGCATGTTGTTGCCAGATGTGCCACCAGTTTATATCTTGAGAGAGATAGTGACGCTGTTGCCTATAACAGTATTGTGCATCTTGTTGCCAGCTGTGTCACCAGTTTTTGTCTGGAGAGAGAGTGACGCTGTTGCCTATAACAGTATTGTGCATGTGGCTGCCAGCTGTGTCACCAGTTTATATCTGGAGAGAGAGAGA